CCGCCCCAAGCACATGCTTGGAGCGCTGGTGCCTAGAGCCGGCCCTGTTTCTGTGTATGTCTCACATGCCAATGCATTTTGTTCTAGGCTTGTCTTGATAGAAACCCAGAAGCTTTCCTACCAAAGATTGGGAAAGGGAAACTGGGGAATATTAAACCTCGCCACAACAAAGGATGTAATTGCAAGCGCTCAGGGTGCCTTAAGAATTATTGTGAGTGCTTTGAGGTTAGTCAAGTGACCTTTCCTAGCATTAATCATGTTCTTAATAGAAATGGATATGTTCTGATCCAGCTGTTTTTGCATAAATAATATTAGACACTAAAAATGAATATTTTTCTTTCCTCCCCTCAGATTGTTCATTCTAAATCTTATTCAACTTAAGGGGACAGATTCTTTTCCCTGATCGCTGTGGCTCACCAGCTAAGGATTTCCCCATGGGGGTGGAGGAGCTCTCAGCCAGCTCCTATGCCAGCTGCACCCCTTGCTCCAGTGTAGGGGATGGGGAAAGGCTGTGTTGCGAGGAGCAAAGCACAACTTTGCTCCACTAGTTCTCAGTTGTGTGGCTCCTTAAGGGGCTTGCCCCACACCTGTTCCAAAAGTATTTGAAGACAGAGGAAAGTTTCCCATTGGACTTTTGGATCAGGCCCCAAGTGCAGATTTTTCCTGTCCATGTGGAATGGTGGCCCAGTTGCTTCTGTGACATTGCCCTCCCATCTGATCCAGCAAAGTCCTCCACATGTCTAGAGTCCATGCTGGGGGAGCTGAAGGAGACTAGGCAGGCTAGAGGGAAGGAGTGGGTGGGCCATGTGCAGGGTCGGAGGCATACACATTCCAATCATTCCCCTCTGTGGCCCCACAGAGAATACTTGGAAAAGATGATCATAGCCCCTTGCTCTATTGACTTTTCTCTAGTCTTCCATTGGGAGTCTCCAGGACTGGAACAGCCAGGGTGAGTCTGTGGTAGCATGGCTCCAATGGATAGTCTTATGTATGTTTAATAATTTATGATTTTGGTATCAAGTATGATTTTGGTGTTTGTTGTTTTCCAGGCAAAAATTATGTGTTCCTCTATTTGCAAATGCATTGGTTGCAAAAATTATGAAGAAAGCCCAGATCGAAAAACACTAATGAACATGCCCAACTACACAGAGATTAGAAATAATGAAGAAAACATCCTTGTTTCAACATCTACATTTGAAATGTTATCAAAATCTAGAGGAGACAGGTGAATATTTGGCATTAACAAAATCAAGTCCATCTATCTGTCCAGCTATTTTAGATTTTTCTGACGTGCCCATCACTGGGTTATCTAAAAAATAGTGACTAATATTGACTAATGGTTTGTATAACAGATATCTGGAGATCCACACATAATTTTGGATTTATAGGATTAGAAAGATCATTTAAGACAAACCATTTAGGAATACACTATGCATAGCTTAGGGTTTATAAATATTACACCTGCTTACCAAACTGCAATTACTTTTTTACTGATGGAGGGTCTGATCCTGCCCCCCTTCTCTCCTCCCTTGTCCCACTCACTTTCAGCATCCCTTCTCCCTTCATTTGTCTTTAGATTTAGCTAATCCCCTTTTAACAAAATTGTGGCCAAAGAATTTTTTTAAAATGGCATTTACAAAATGTTTGCAGGTGATCACATTGTTCACCCTGCTTGTATGCTATACCCCTCTCCCCTCTACCTGTTGTCTGTCTTGCCCAGATAGATTGTAAGCTATGTGGGGCAGGAACTGTCTGCTGCTCTTAACAGTGCCCAGCCCAACAGGGCCCCATCCTAGGGACCATCCTAATAAACATCATAAAAATGAATAAGGATCCAAAGCCCATTGAAATCTATAGGAGTCTCTCCATTGACTTCAATGGACTTTGCATCAGGCCCAGAAGCTTCTATGCAGGATGAATTTTTCACTGCATCAACCACTGCTTTTTGTTTGTTAACCTTCATATACACCTCTACCCCGATATAACGCGACCCAATAGAACACGAATTCAGATATAACGCGGTAAAGTAGTGCTGGGGGGGGGGGGGCGGGGCTACATACGCCGGCGGATCAAG